CACACACACACACACACACACACACACACACACACACACACACACACACACACACACACACACACACACACACACACACACACACACACACACACACACACACACACACACACACACACACACACACACACACACACACACACACACACACACACACACACACACACACACACACACACACACACACACACACACACACACACACACACACACACACACACACACACACACACACACACACACACACACACACACACACACACACACACACACACACACACACACACACACACACACACACACACACACACACACACACACACACACACACACACACACACACACACACACACACACACACACACACACACACACACACACACACACACACACACACACACACACACACACACACACACACACACACACACACACACACACACACACACACACACACACACACACACACACACACACACACACACACACACACACACACACACACACACACACACACACACACACACACACACACACACACACACACACACACACACACACACACACACACACACACACACACACACACACACACACACACACACACACACACACACACACACACACACACACACACACACACACACACACACACACACACACACACACACACACACACACACACACACACACACACACACACACACACACACACACACACACACACACACACACACACACACACACACACACACACACACACACACACACACACACACACACACACACACACACACACACACACACACACACACACACACACACACACACACACACACACACACACACACACACACACACACACACACACACACACACACACACACACACACACACACACACACACACACACACACACACACACACACACACACACACACACACACACACACACACACACACACACACACACACACACACACACACACACACACACACACACACACACACACACACACACACACACACACACACACACACACACACACACACACACACACACACACACACACACACACACACACACACACACACACACCCATATAAAATCAGTATTATTATAATACGTCCAGGCTTTTTCAATAGGACTAGGCATATCATAATACTACTCAAATAATTAAGAATCTCACAATTTGACTGATAATTTCAGGCGTATTATAATAAGCCTGCCGCTTGTTAGTCTTATTGTTAAATTGAACCGACGCGCATGTGTTTTAGAATCCGACTAGATTTAATCCGTCGTATTATATTACGATTGACGATGTGCCAGGCGAATTGCAATCATCATTGTTGTTGAATTGATTAAAATTTTTCTGTACCTACCTAATATTTGTGCAAAATATTAATGGCTTGTTAAATCGATGGTTTTCGAGGGATGAAATAACTGACTGCCAAACTAATGAAATAATTAACATTCCACAAGGAAAAGCAATTACTTTAAGAGAAGCTCTAAGGTTATTTTCAAAATTCGAAGGACAGGGATTTAAAAAGTGTTCTTGCAAGCCAAGCAAGACACAGTGTCATAGCAATAAATGTTTGTTTTTTAAAGCTCGTATGAAATTTACTAGCAAATGTCATAAAAGCGGACTATGCTGTAATAAATAATCCTAATCTATTATTTGTATTTTTATTTTAGATAGTGTTTAATTTTAATTTTAGAGTGTTTAAAATCAATGATTGATTATCGTTCGCATGGCATACCGTCATGCATCAGTCGTATTATAAACACGATTCGCCTGGCACATCGTCAGTCGTATTATAAATACGACGGATTTCATATAGTCGGATTCTAAAACACTTGCGCATCTGTTCAATTTAACAATAAGACTTGGTATATATACTGGGATAAGACTAACAAGCGACAGGCCTGTTATAATACGCCTGAAATAATTAGTCAAATTGTGAGATACTTAATTATTTGGGTAGTATTATATTATGCCTAGTCGTATTGATAATAATATTATAATAAGACTGATTTTACCATAAGCCTGCGACATATATATAAAAAATTTTGTCCTGCTTGACTGACTGACCTATCTTTGGTACAGCCAAAACTACTGAGCCTAGAAAGCTTAAATTTGGAACATAGGTTTATTTTATAACGTAAGCACCTGCTAAGAAAGGATTTTTGGAAAATTTAACTTTAAAGGGGGGAAATGGGGGAGGGAGCTTTTAATGAAACTCTTATGTTCTTTAAAGTTAGAAACATGAAAATTTAAATTACAGCTACTAAGCATAAATAAATAGTGACATGTTTCAGGGTTTTTGGATTTTCACATTTTAAGGGGGGAAAACAGGGGGTGAAAGTTTGTATGGGACTATCGATTTTTTTTGTTCTCTTTGAAGTTAGAAACATAAAAATTGGAATTGCAGCTTGTAATGAAGTCAATTTTCATTACTATATTTCGGCCTATTCCGGATATAAATTTTTATTTTATTTTAACTTCATGAGTAACGATAGCGCGCGCAATCCGCGCACATCGAGTAGGGAGCTAGCCTGCTTGGGCATAGAGACTCGGATTCGGATTCAGCATTTAAGTATTAAAAATCATTTATTCACTTTACTGATCTCGACTAGCTTGATTCCATTTTTCCGACCTCGTTAACTCTGCTTCGTTATACGCCGTAATAATATTGCAGAGACCGTAGTTAGGTACACCGAATTCATGTTTACGTTTTTTTTCTGTCGTCGGTTCTTGAGCTAAACGTTCGAATACCAGTTTTATTTGATTAAATTTTTCCGTTTTCGATTTTATTTCATAGAAATATTAGACTTTAGATTTTCGTTAAAAATATTTTGATTTTCAGATAAATTATTTAGTTTTGATTTTATTTAGAAACATTGGAAATTAGTTTTGGTTATTAGGAAGTAGAAATGTTGTTTCTATTTTAATAATTACTTAATTTTTATTGCAACCGTGGATTGTGTTTCTATTTTAGAGTAATAGTAAACCTAAATTTAAATTAAATTCCGTATACAGTTAATTACTTAATTTTCATTGCGACCGTGGATGTTGTTTCTATTTTTAAGTAATAATAAATTTAAATTCCGTATATATGTAATTACTTAACTTTTACTACGACCATAAATTTTGTTTCTATTTATTCACAATCTGGTTTAACTTTTTTTTTACATTTATGTTTCTTTACTTGGGAATAGAATTAGTTCGAAAGTTGAAATAGTATCATTTTTCATGTTGAGTGGACTGGTTTTGGCGATAAAGCTCACATGGTATTAGATACTATCCCGGTATTAGATTTTTTTTAGATTAACCCCTAGCCGTGATTAACATATTAGTGTTTTTCTTATGTTTGGGAGGGCTGGTTTTGGCGAGTACACTCATCATAGGATAAATACTAACCCGGTTTTTGATTATTTTCTTAGTTACTTCCGCCCCGTGATTAAAATGATAGTATCATTTTTATGTTGAGCGGGCTGGTTTTGGCGAGTACACTCCTCATAGGATTGATACTATCCCGTTTTCTTACCACATTTATCTATTCCCTATTCACTAACACAAGGAGGTTTGTTTCAGTTTCAATACCGACTAGATAGTTAACCAGATAACTTTTTCTACGACCGTGATTTTATTTCTGCTTTTACGAAACAAAATATTTAACTTCAATCTTTTTGCCGATTTAACAGTTAACTAGCTAACTTTTGCTACGACCGCAATTATTTGCCATTTTTCTTCTTTAACTGAAATAGTAATTTTGTTTTTGGTTTCGTTTTGGCTCAACCACCGAACCGACAATTTATTAATTAGTTACTATTGCCACCGAGCATCTTTCTTTTAATTTTAATTATACCGTCTGATTGAGACTAATCAAAGTTCACTACTGGCCGATCTGTTTGTTTTTCTTTTTGTTCAGGGTTTTAAAAATACGAGCGAGGGTGGGCGTTGAAATATTACTTACAAATTATTTATTGTAAATAGTTAAAATTCAATATATGTGTCAACGTTACCTTGACTATTACTGAGGTTACTGATCCCTAATTTACTTCCCCCTTTATTTCAGCAGTGAGAAATTCTTTATCACCACAAGTCACGATTAAAGCCCGTTACTTGTGGTTACTTATTACCTGTGTCTGAGTGACCAACGACCCTGGAATTTTTCATCTCCATCTGTGCTGCCCGAGTACTTTCGACGCCGTTTCGAAAGTTTGTGGAGTAAACCACACATAAAATCTGGCGCCCGAGAGCCGTCCCGTCAACAGGCGTCATTTTTAAGTAATCGTTTTCTCTGAGGCGAGAAAACCCCTTACAAGCTACTGAGTACAATTTAATAATAATGTGTTTTAGTGTTTTTATAGTTTTACATCTTAAGGGGGGCAAACGGGGGTGAAAGTTTGTATAGGAGTATATATTTTTTTGTTCTGTTTGAAGTTAGAAACATGAAAATTGGAATTGTAGATAATGAGTACAAATTAATAATGACGTATTTTGGGGTTTTTGGATATTTGGAAATATCGATTTTTTTTTGAGGTAGGAATTGTAGGTTCTCATAAATAAATAATGAAGTGTTTCAGGGTTTTTGCATTTGAACATTTTAAGGGGGAAAATGGGGGGTGAAAATTTGTTTAATAGTATGTATATATATTTTTGTTATTTAAAGTTTGAAACATAAAAATTTGAATTACACCTACTGATTAAAAATCAAAAATGATGTATTTCGCTGATATTGTGTCAACGAATGAACTGAACTTCGCCTTTTAATTTCAGGTAACAATGTAATAATCTTATATTTATATTTGTTAAATTTTCTGAAATTAATAAAGTCGTTTATTATTATTATTAATATATAAATGCACATCTCTATGGCAACTAATTTTACATAAAACTTAACTGTTCAAGTTGATTGTTAGATAGCTGGCGATTCCTACCCACATATATTTTAAAAAGGATAAAAAAAACTAACAAAACAGCTCCTTTTTAACACTTTATTTATTTTGTAAAAAACGATATTACATAAAACACTCAGTACTTTTGAAGTATGTAAATTAAATTTTCTACAAATAGTTTTCTACTTTTACAAAGAAAACTACAACGATCTTACTGAAATTATTAAAAAAAAAAATGATTGACATAAAATTCATAAATGATTATATAAATAACATAATTGACTATCAACAATGAAGTTATCAATTGATAAACAATGCAGTTTTAAATCAAATACAAAATTGTGTAAATATACTTCATAATTTCATGAAACCTTAACAGGTAGGAAGGGAGGGTAGATATTGATAAAGTTTCATAAACAAAACAATATTTTCCAAAAGACAAGTCAATGCATAAAATGAACCAAAAAAAAAAACGGAATACATTTTTATAATAAACTAAATCATGAATGCACATTTTGTTTTTAAATGTTAGCTATTCAATAATTTAGAATAGCTATATTAGATTCGTATGTAGATATAATAAATTCGTTATTATGTAAACTCAATGTGAAAATATAATCTTAACTAAAATATCACTATCAAAAATTACAACGCCATTTTTCTTCCTTCAATCGAAATTTCAACGGCTCTCCTAGTTTGCTTCAACCTCTTGCCATCTATAAAGTTCTTATAATGTCTTTCAAACCTATTTAAACCCTTCTTTGTTGTCTGAAATAAAAGGAATAATATTTTACTTCTAAATATTATAGTTAAAAAAAATAATAGTTAAAAAAAATAATAGTTAAAAATATTTATAATAAATAAATTAGCTAAAATTATTATAAAGAAATCTGTCATGTGTAGCGTGATCAAGGGTAGTACATGACAAACCCATTTTTTAACTGATCATTTAAACTGTTGTGTCAATCCTAAACAAGTTTTAAAAATAATATCAAACTATTCAGTCACATTTCCTACACTGTAATTCTTTCATAATTTATATTCAAATTTATATCTTATGCCGGTCCTAGCTTCGGCGTTGCCACGCCGACCATTAGCTCGATTAATTACATCACGTCTATTACGCCCGTATGCACCGTACACGTTTAATCCAGATCAACCGTTTAATCGCGTTTAGTACCATTTTTAGCTATGGTACTAAACGCGATTAAATCCTTGATCTGGATTAAACGTGTACGGTGCATACGGGCATTAAAAGAACACATACCTTAAACAGACATTCATAAAACGGTTTTGTTACTCTGTCTTCCTTTAATATTCAGTTATTTTAGGACTAACCTTAAACTTAATTGAGCTCAAATTTTAAAGAAATCCAATACTCTATCCTATTCTGCTCATAAGATTGTTTGAAGTCAAAGCGAGAAACGGCGTAATATATATAAATGTTGGTAACAACGAAATGCGATTACATCATTCAACAGTGGGCATTATGTATGAAATTTTAACCAATAACAAGCACATAGTAATAACATTTGGCATCTGGTTTTACCAGTTTTAATGTTAAAAATATATTTTTTAAGCACTTTCTGTACCTTTTTAACAAATTTGTGCACAGTAAGAATTCGTGAACCAAATCCCAATTAACTATAAAAAATATTCATTGTAAAATAATTTTAAGAGTTTAAAAATACAAGACCTCTTACACTTTATTTATTCCACATTGACAAGACGTCCAAAATATCTTCAAAACAATTGTAAAATCACTTTAGCAGACAGCAACAAAATCAAGAAAAACTTGTAACAAATCTTTTCAACTTGAGACTGCAGACAATGACTGTCGGATATGGTTTTAGGCATACAAATTTGTTAAGAAGCATATACATATACACATTTTTAATAAACTTACCCTACTAATATCCACTTCGGAATGCCATTTTGGTCTAACTAAGTAGTCTTTATTGGATGGTATAGGTACTCTTGCTCTAGCTACCCAGCCCTTTTCGCCAGGTCTGAGTGGTCTAAAAAATGTTTTTAAACAAAATAAACAAATTCATTCAAATATAGAATTGCATTTCAAGTATGTCAGAAATATTAATATGGTAACTAAATTGTTTATTGCACTTATATAGAAAATGTACAAGGGCAGTAAAAAAACCATTTAAATATTAAATTAAGATAGTTATATAACATTAATTTAGTTAGATGTGGGCAAATAATTTGACCAAAATCATCAGGTACTCGCCACTCGATAATAGTTTAGATTGCTAATTAGGAAATCACAGAGATGGAATAAGGTTCTAAATTATATAGAATAGTTATTAGATATTTTTCATTTGTTTTAATGTGCCAGATTTAATGCACACTGGCAGATGGTTATGCATGAATTTAACGCTCCTCGTTCATAACCAGATAGTTTTGTAGCAAAGTAACTAAACTTTAGTTTAATGTATTAAAATGTTTAGTTTAGTCTTAAAGCCGAAATATTATTTATTTCCCAACTTTATTCGAAATACCGTTTTGTCAGTTCTGAAGTTACGTAAGCGAAGCAAGTACATTGTTAGCGCACTCTTAATTCGCCGACTTAATTTCTCAACATCCAAGGTCTTCCGACTCAATGGACCCTACTACTCTGGCAATCGGTGAAATCTTTCACTACCTACCGTCGATCACGAGATAACGTTGCCCTCCTTATCCGTCACTATATCATTTGTATTAAATCGCAAACCTTTGAAAATAGGTGAATTTTAACCAAGCCTAATTTTTCCGAAAATCCGACAATAATTTCTAAGCTAACACCGCTCGACTTTCGCCGTTTTTTTTTTTTAATTTATCGCGACGAAAATAAATATTGTTTTTCGATAATAATGCCGAGTGAAATATTTAGGATGTTAGAATGACATTAGTTGTATTCAACCTATAGATTTTGTATTTACTTCAGACATGTTGATTATAATGGTACTTAACTTCTATTTGGAATACCGTGAAGATAGCCGTATTACATATATTTATTTTATTAATTGGCAAAATGTTTTCGTAAAACGCATTAATATACTTTACTTCTACGAAGTTTTAATTTTGTAAATATATCTTATTTTCTGATTTTTTTTATATGTAAACATTTTCACCGTTTTTTACGCTTTTTCGACTTTACCGATTTATATTTTATTTCATATTTTTATGTAAAAATTTTCACTAGCTCTTCTCCGCTTATTAAGAGCATCCTTCTTACTATTTTTAATTATTTCTTTTTTTGGGCAATTGATTGTAAATAAAGAGTAAAATTACTCAAGTTTCATATTGCTCCACCATGGTTACTATTTTAAATATATTATTTTGTATAAAATTCCTGTTTCTTTTAACTATCTAGCTCTTCCATAATCACCTTTAGGGTAAAAGGTACGAGGTGTTTACACCATTTAGGTTGAATAAGGTGGATATTACCAGTGTTAAGGTTTTTTTTTTCAGTAGTACCCCATTTGTAAGTGACTGCCTGGAATATACTTACTCCAATGGGGCGCTACTTTGAGTACACTCTATGTGTACTCGAGGGTCGCAGAGCAAACTACGTTATCAAAACTGGCGCCCGAGCAACCTTTGTTCTATTAACAGCCACCCACGACAAGAAGACGTGTCACAGTATATAATATGGAAAATTATGGTTAATCTTATGCCTTGTACCATAAACTTGGGTAGATTTAAATTCTTCAAAATATTGAATATTTTTAAACAAAATATAATGTACTCAAATATCTATAATGCAGGAATCGTAAGTATACAAAACTCAGCAAAACCCATTTTTCCATTATACCAGTACTAATAGCCTTCGATTAAAAACTAGAAAAATAAAATGTTTTGAGCGTGTTTTTTTAAGCATTTTTTTAAGGATTTTTAACCCACAGCATGTTTTATTTAACGCATTAGAAAGAGAGTCTAGGTGGAAAGAAATATTTAATGATTCATGAGAAATATTCCATGGCATTTAGAATTCTGTGAAAATGGTGTTTGACGATTATTTAATACAATATTATCAGGAGTATCTGGCCGACGCGCGACGGTTCGTTTTGAAAAAACTGCATTAGTTCTTCTCTATTCAAATAAAGAAATTAAAAATAAATATTCAATAACACGCTGTTTATCAAGTTTAAATTACTTATGATTTGTTTGGCTGTTGAACAAAAATGTCTCTAGGAAACTTCTCTTTAGATCTCGATAACTTATAGAACCTTTTTCACTACTATTTATGCTCGTATAGTCGAATTTTTAATTCTATTTTAATTTTTAAATCTTAAATTTCGAGTAAAGCAAAAAAAATACTTCATCATTGATTTACCATATCAGTATGGAAAACAGTTTACTTATTCATAATTTCCACTTACTTTCCTTCTGAATTCAAAGCCTTGTTGAGCTCTTTACGCTCTTGGGCAGTTACTTCTTCCTCTGATTTTCGTCTTTTGCCACCCCTTTGCTCATAATCTCTCTGTACCCGTTCTTCCCTACTAAGGGCTAAAAAAAACATCAAGTACAATAATGTTATTAGCAATATGTAGGAAGAACCTTATTTAAATAAAGCTTTATTCTCATTAGTAATTTTAGCTAGTGGAAGTAGAAAATGTTAAAATTAGGTTAAGTTGACAGTATTTTATTTCTAATCTAGAAAAACGTGTACCTTTATTTTGTTTAATTATTTTTTTTTAAAGAATGTATTATAATGATACATAAAAAGCGGATGAAATGTTAAAATGACTAAGTATAGTGTTTTGCTTTCTTTTTTTAATTCAAAATATGTTGTCAAAATCATAAAGCAAACAAAGTTACATTCAAGCAAATACAGTATTTCGGCACAAAATAGAAAAGCCTATTTAATGTATGGTTTTCCTTAATAAAAATTTCAAGTAGGCTTACTTAAATTTCCAAATAAAGGCATCCTAAATACTGCTTACACTGTATACCACGTTCAATAACTATTATTGCACATGATCATGTAATTTTATTTTTAATTTTGTTTAATTACCTTTAAAATCTGTGGAAAGATTGAAAATTGGCCTAGCCCATTCACTAATCAGTCGTCCTGCCCTCTCTCGATTTTCTTTAGTTTCTTTTGGGTGTTTATATAAATACATCACAGCTTTACCAATACCGGAATGCTTTATTGTGGACTGATCAATTCTAGGAAACTAAATCAAAAATAATAATAGTATAGTGCCGATCGCAAAATGGTAATGACAGATTATTTTAGAGGGAGTTAAAAACATTATACGAATTGCTAAACACCAGATCAGCCATGGTGCACAACTAATTGGGCATTTTACAAAGGGTGCTTCTATTTGGACGCAATTGGTGTCCATTCAAAGCTGACAGCTTCATTTTTACAATAACTAGCATTGCCTGTTTGCATCCACTCCAAAACTGTAGCAACGAAGTTTATTTTGTTTTCTGCATAAAATTAGAGCAAACCATTGATGGTATGAGGATCGTTCAGTACGTCCTTCCAAATCCTAGAGATAGTGCTTGTAGCATCAAAAATGGTTTATTTTTATCAAGCATTATTACTCACTACACAGCTAATAAAGTCTCACATGCTTTCATTTATTTTATTTATTTATTGTCTATTGTAGCAAGAAACTTTTGTTTATTTAGAAAAATGCACGGTTGTACACCTTTGCATTTTCGATGGCCAAAATAATGGAATTAAAAATTATTAATACAATATCCACTTTATTCACTGGAATTGGCACCCATAACTTTATTAATTCCAAACTTAAAAATATGGATCGGCAGACAATGACGAGGAGGTCATCGCACAAAAAGATCCCTATTTTAAGGACCTTTTAAAATCTTTCCTTTTAGATGCCTTAAAAAACTCTTGAAGACGCGTATAAATAGAACTAATAGATTATGTTGAAAAATAAAAAATAAATACCTAAAATAATTGGTTGGACGACCCTCGTATATTTTGTAAATTCAGCCCAAAAATTAAAATTGGTGTACTTACATCTGCTAAAAGTTTCAATAATTGTTCTCTAACTTGTAAAGAAGGTAAAGACCTATCAGGCATAGGAGCTAACCAATCAGTAAGAACATTTAATACATTATGTTCTATGAAAGCCAACTGTAAATCGTGTTTTTTTAATTGTGACATAACTTTTGCTAGCATTGCTGATTTTTTTGTTGCAGGTTTAAGTTGTTCATTAAGTCGTCGATCTTCCTGAAATAAAAAATAAAATAATTAAATTTGTTTAATCGATAGAAATAACATCTCTTACATCAGCAGCATTTTTCATGTCACCAAGTAACCCGGCAATTATATCATCATTATCGTTTATAATATCAATATCCTTTCGTTTGCGTTTTCTATTACCCTCTTCTTTTTTTCTTTGAAGCATAATATCAAAATCTGATAATCCATGATTTTCATCCCGGTCACTAAAATAAATAATGTTAATAAGTCCGATTGGTATCAATTTATTTTACTAACCCTCCCCTGTCCACAATACCCTCGTCAGAATCATAATCCTCTGGTGGTGGAGGAGGAGCTTCTTTTTCAGGTTCATCTTGTTTTTCCGCTGTAGATGCATCTACGTCCTCATCATCACTAACAATTGCTCGTTTAGTTTTATGTGTTGATTCAATTTCATCTTCTGAATCAGATATAAGGCGTTTTCTGGATACCTTACCTATATTTAGAATTAAAATTTATAGTTGTTAACTCATTAAAATTAAAGAAGCTTTTACCTTCATTACCTGAACCAGATCTAGACCTAGACCTGGATCTAGCTTTTGCAGAACCTGATCGTGAGCGCGACCTTGATTTTGAACGAGAACCCGATTTAGATCTTGATCGTGATTTAGACCTTGAACCCGATTTTGATCTTCTTGATCCTGACCGAGACCTCGACCTGGAACCTGATCTTGATCTTCTGGAACCAGATCTAGACTTACGTGACCCTGATCTAGACTTACGTGACCCTGATCTAGACTTACGTGACCCTGATCTAGACTTGCGTGACCCTGATCTAGATTTACGTGAGCCTGATCTAGACTTGCGTGACCCTGATCGAGATCTTGCTGAACCAGATCTAGATCTTCTTGAACCAGATCTAGACCTTCTAGATCCAGACCTAGATCTAGCCGAACCAGATCTAGACCGTCTTGATCCTGACCTTGATCTTCTGGATCCTGATCGAGATCTTCTAGAACCTGATCGGGATCGTCGTGAACCGGAGCCAGATCGAGATCTTCGTGAACCGGAGCCAGATCGAGATCTTCGCGAACCAGATCTTGACCTAATTGATCCCGATCTAGACCGCGATCTTGATTTTGGTGAACCAGACCTCGATCGCCTTGATCCTGATCTTGATTTTCTCGATCCAGATCTTGATTTTCTCGATCCTGATCTTGATTTTCTTGATCCTGATCTTGATATTCTCGAGCCTGATCTTGATTTTCTGGAGCCTGATCTTGATTTTCTGGAGCCTGACCTTGATTTTCTCGAACCAGATCTTGATTTTCTTGATCCTGATCTTGATTTTGCTGAAGCAGCTCTCGAATTGTTTGAGCCTGATCTTGATCCTAGATAATAAAAAAAGTTTGGTGTCATTATATTTTTATCTTAATATAATGAAAATGGGCATAACTTACGTGATCTTGACTTTCTTGATATTGATCTAGATCGGGGTGAACCAGAGCGAGATCTTGATCTTGAAGCGGCTTTAGCAGAACCTGAACGAGATCTCGACCGTGATTTAGATTTTCTTGATCCAGACCTAGATTTTCTTGATCCAGACCTAGATTTTCTTGATCCGGATCTAGATCTAGAACGTGAAGCTGCTTTTACCGAACCCGAACGAGATCGGGATCTAGATTTTCTTGTATTTTTATTTGAATCTGATACTGCAGATCCTGATCGGGATCTAGAACGTGAAGCTGCTTTTACCGAACCAGAACGAGATCGGGATCTAGATTTTCTTGTATTTTTATTTGATTCCGACAATGCAGATCCTGATCGGGATCTAGAACGTGAAGCTGCTTTTGCAGAACCCGAACGAGATCGGGACCTAGATTTTCTTTGATTTTTATTTGATTCTGATACTGCAGATCCTGATCGGGACCTTGATCTTGAAGCAGCCTTTGGAGATTTGGAATGAGATTTAGATCGTGATATTATTTTATTTAAATTTGATTCTGAATGAGCTGATCCAGATCTAGAACGTGATCTTGAGGCAGCTTTTGGAGATCCAGATCGTGATTTTGATCTAGATTTTCGATCATTTTTCTTCAAATTTGAATCAAAAGAACGGGAACGTGATCTTGATCTAGCTTTTGGAGAAGTAGGCCTTGATCTAGATCCTGACCTAGACCTGGAACCTCTCTTTTCTGGACTTGCTGATCTTGATCTAGATTTCGATTTCCGAGAACCAGAATTTGATCTTGAACGTGATCGAGAATGTGATTTTCTTGATCCAGAGTTAGATCTGGATCGTGATCTAAGTGATGCTTCCGATGCAGCTCTTGCTGAACCAACTGGAGATTTGGGACCACCTAAATTACAACAACTTGTCTCAAATTAAATGTTCGACTTTTGTTTAATAGTTTTTTTTAAATAGACCGACCATCTGTTTATCGGAAAATAACATCAGAATGTTCCCAAAGTCGACGTTTTGTATTTAATTAAAATCTTCTGAATCAATTCAATGATACAAGACTTATTACCTTGATATCATAAAACATTTTTTTTTTTCGATTTATGGCCTATGTGCATATACCTAATATGCCAGTCTCAAGTTTGTGTTTAAATTCTCAATCATGTGTGTTCTGTGTAGGCTTTGTTACTGTTTCCCAGCGCCACTTCAGGAATAGCACTATTAGAACCCAACAGTGAATGGTCGAGTGGGGAATCCTACCAAGGCATCAGAATTAATTTTAAATAATTAAATTAAATAAAAAAATCCCGGCCAACGGTTCAAATATAAATTAATTTATTTGTATATTATAAAAACCAATCCAGTATATATTCATACAATTTGAAATGAAACATCTTTATTAAGAATCGGCAACATTACGAGCGTCCCAATCATTTATAAGAAACAATCTATTTGATTACTTTCAAAAACCCAGGATTGATTTTCAACACAAGATTCAAAACGGCAGGAAAATAGAATTATATAAAATTTTTAGATTTTAGTCTCAAACTGGCTTATAGGGGAACTGGATTATTGGGGAACAAATCTTTTATATGCAGGTAGGCCTAAAGATATAATCCAGGTTTGGAGTAACCAATTTTATCACAGGTAAACATCTAAGAATCTAAATAACGTTTATTTAATGTGAGTATATATTTTGATTGGCATTTTATTGTATAAAAACTAACCACCTATCCAAGTAAAAAATATGTACAATATGTCTCACCAAGTTGGAACCATATGAAAAACTGTTTTATTATTGGTTTTGTGAAAAAATGTATTCTTGATAAAAAGTTCTGCATGGGCCAAAACTTAAAATGCAATCATCAGATATCAATTTTTTTAAGCCGTATACGAGGTTTGTCAAAAAATATGAGTTTTGCTAAAGAGTAAAGTACCTTCATTTTTGAAAAACCTCGTATAAAACTGATAAAATTTGATATCCGATGGTTGTATTTTAGGTTTTAGACCATGTTCGACTTTTTATGAAGAATAACTTTTTTCCTAATATTAATAATAAAAAAAGTTAGTCTTCGTAAAAAGTTCGAGATTCTGAATGCTAAAAAAAATTATTTTTGTAAGAGACTGTACAACACATGTAAGTTTAAACATATGTAAGCTTATATCTATATACGGATACGTTATAATTTCAAGTAAAATCCATCAGGCTACGTCGCAAATATATGAATGGTGGGCTTTAGAAATTTGTGACTTGCTCATACTAATTTTAAGGGTTTGGTTTGTTTTGATTCAAAGAGAACCATCAATTCCAATTCTCAAATACAGTGGACGAATTAATTTTTCAAGAACACATCGCGAGATTATAACATCTTAGCTGATTGAGTGTAATCAAAGAGGTTAGAAAGGGTAGAGGTAACATAGGAAGCATTTGTCGCTGCGCGAATTTTGCCAAAACCGAAAAACTGGGTGGAAGGAGTAGGGAGATGTTCTGGGCCGGACTTAAATATTTGTATTGTAGTACCTAATTTTGGTGGGTAACTAAAAGATGAAAAATTATGAGACGTTTTTTTGACTTTATTTGTTAGCACGATTCATGTATGATGAGGGAAATAACACTTTATCAATATATACCTAGCTAAGAGCCGATTCCACCGTTGTGTCAAACGAAGTTTAAATTATTAAACGAAGATTAAAATGACATTGTTAATGTAAAATTTGTCATTTTAAACTCCATTTAGTAATTTAAACTTCGTTTTTGTTAATATAAAAATGTCATTTTAATCTTCGTTTAGTATTTTAAACTTCGTTTAACAAAACTCTAAGTAATAGTTTATAAAATTATTGCAACAAAATAGCTGTTGAAACAGCCACAGTACTTTTTGCTCGAATTACACACAAGATTTTTTCTACGATCACACCAAAATAAAATAAATAATTAAATTTTATTAGAAATGGGTTACCTTTTCGTTCGTTATATTTTAAGTTTATTTGACATAGGCCTACTCTTCGAAGAGAAAAAAATGTTTTGGTACTTATATGCCGGTAATTATTTATGATTTAATTATTTATGATTTAATTATTTACGGAAAATACCGTTCAATGAATTAAAATATTAGGAAGTCAATTAATAGTTATTTATGTAACCAGTTACGAAATGCCTTATTTTGTGTAGCGAGTAAATATTTACGGAACGAGGTCCCGCAAAATGAACGAGTTACACAAAACGGCATTTCATAACGTGTTTACATGCAAGATTTTTTCTAATTTTGACTTGATTATTTATAAAATTGTGTTAAAAAATGATTCACCATCATTCTTTTGTAGGTACTTCCAATCAAATATTTTAGAAAATTGTTGTATTTGATTTCCTACGACGTTTTTTTTTTTCAATAGTAATAATAAAAATAAGGGACATGTGCAGTGTTGAAAAAAAAAACATTTTTACCCATTATCCTTAAAGGAGTACGTCAAAATTTTACCTCCAACATTTCTGGGCAGTTTTCAATAACGGTGTTATTTTAAAAATAAAACGCAATTTACAGCTTTTCTTTTTTTGTTTTCTTTTTTGTTGTTAAACGTAATGTCATATTTTCAAATGTGAAATGTCACTATTCATTGCCTTTTTTTCCATATTTGGTATTTTTGATTTTTTTTTTTGGATTTTTGGATTTTTGGATTTTTTTTATTTTTAGATTTTTAGATTTTTTAGATTATTCGATTTCTTGATTTCTCGATTTCACGATTTCACGATTTCACGATTTTATTTAGTTTTATTTATTTATTTATTTTTTTTTCTTCATAACTGGTGACAATCAACTTTTCGTAATCAGTTGCATAATGTTTCTCAAACTTTTTTGGCGACGGAACCTTTATTGAAAAGCGAAATATTTAACGGAGCCCTAAACACATAAAACATATAATTTAAAAAATGTATTTCAAATTTTTCTTTATTTTGACTCTCATTTCGACTTTCAATATGTAAACATGATAAAAAATCTACTCTATATTATGCTCCGATTTCACATATTCAATTTTATAATTGTAATTTGAGAATATTACTGCCCATCTACGTAGTCTGTTGGCTGAAAATTGGGGTATACATTTAGCTGGGTTAAAAATAGTTACCACAGGTAAATGATCTGTAACTAGGATAAAGAAATGTCCATATAAATATTCAATAAATTTATTTAAGCCAAAAATTATTGCAAGGACATCTCTTTCAATTTGGGAATATTTTTGTTCGGAGTTTGATAAGGTACGCGAAGCAGAAGCTATAGATTTCTCAATATTTTTTTCAAAAACATAACATATCATGGTCTTATTCCCACATTTGATGCATCTACGAATAATTTAATCAGGCTGAAAATGCACAAGAACATAATTTGTTGTTAATTTATTTTTTTGCAAGAATTATCCCAAATCCATTTCACCCATAAAAAATAAAATTAAAAAAAGTCCTAAAGCAAAATCATATCCTCCTTCTTCTTAGTAACTTAAAAAAAAAAAGGTCCTCGAGCCAGATCCCTTCATTTTGTGGCGATAGTACTGTTTTTTTTTTTTATTGTGAATATTTTCTTCGCGGAGCCCTCACAAAGACTATCACTTTGAGTAACATTGTTATATAGAGAATTACTAAATAAATAGTTTTGAGAAAACTATTGAAACCAGTTGTGAAGTTTGAAACGAATAAATTGGCAATGAAATTGATATTTTTGTATTTTATTGTATGTTTCTCTTTTCACTTCCTAAAAAAGATTCCCCATGAAACAAGAAATAGTAAATAGTTTATAATAATAACCTATATTTGCTACTTAAAACATGTACCAATGACAAAGTCCGATTCTGTTTATTTTCAAATCAACAAATATGGATGTCGACTGAATCCTTAAAAATTAAATATCTCACCGAAATAAATGTAAGTTTATTTTATCTCCGTCACATTTCGCAGGTTCATTATAAATAAAGCTTTTTACAACACATCTTGGCATTTTCAACGTTAATTTCCAAAATTTAAGTCACTAAAATACCAAATTAATCCTCGTTGACACATAAAATTTGGATGGACAGTGCTCTGACATATGATGTTCTCAACTGTGATTGGTGGGTGTGAATAATTTCGAAATGGGATTATGCGCAGTATCTTATGTTCCATCTAAGGTTTGTATAATCTAAGAGTGTAATTCAGTTATCGCGTGTTAAGTGTAGTGTTTACAATATTCCCAAGTTGTAAACATTGTACACAACTAGGCGTTGACTGCTTTAAAAATATTTTTATTTTAAAAATCTATCTTTTTACCAAGACGATAAAAAAATTCATTAAATTTTTCTTATTTTATGTATAATTTTTTAAAGGAACAACCCGCGACGGCTTCTGTCCTCACATTTTTCTCATTTTATGTATATGCGAGGTAATAATGATGTCTCCAGGCCGTATAGAGGTAACTTATTTTTTTTAATTATTCACGTTTTATGTATACTTTTTTGCGAAACAATCCGCACTGGTTCCAGGGCTGGAACTCTGTGTCATGTAGAATTCTACTTATCGCTTTCTACAATAGATTCTTTTGTGGCACTCTGTGTAACATAGCGGAAAACCAACGAGTATATACTTACTACAGGATAACTAGATTCATAAGAAACCACATTGCGATATTTCCCGTGCGGTTGATAACGTATTTATCACAAAAGAAAGTAATCAATTCCATTGTAGAAAGCGATAAGTAGAATTCTACATGACACAGAGTTCCAGCCCTGGCCGCACAGGTTAGGTAAATTAGTTAGATTTCTGTATAATTTTTGCGAAATAACCTGCGATGGCTCTAGTATCTATAGGTTAGGTAAATTTATTAAGTTTTTAAAAAAAACATATTTTTAGGCGTTTCTAGGGCAAAGAAAAGAATTTTGAAATGTGTTTCAAAGGGTCTAAAATGGCCTAAAAACCCCGTTTTATATTTTCTGATGAATAATCACATATTTAAATTAGTGATGTTTTATTTTGAAAATATGGGAAAAACAATTTGGGGGGAGGGGGTAAATTTCATGAGAATGCCAGGATTTTTTTCATTTGTGTTTGGAAGGCTTGTTTACTTATGAAAAATATTTTTTTGTTAAAATGTGGATTCACTCTAAACTGCATTTTTCCCCCTATATTTTTCAACAAATTCTAAATAATTTAATAGTGTTAAGATGAACAAATTAGTGTATTATTTATTTTAAATACCAGCGATTTATGCAAAATTATAAAGTCTAAAGCCAACTTTTATGCAGACGACGGAAAAATCTACTGCAAGCCACTGGAAAGCTCTCATAGAATGAAACAATACTTGAATAAAATAGGAATCTGATTCCAGCAATGGCTACTACTCCTCAACATAAATAAATGTACAGTATTTGTACATTGGCCCAAACAATCCCCATACACAGTACACCATAGACACACAAATGCAATATTTCCAGTCGAAACACAAAAGGCTCTTGGTGTAATCATATCTAGAGACTTAAAATAACAAACCTACATTGATAATTTAGTGAAGAAAGTCAACAGTCTCATTTATCTTATCAAAAGAGCTCTTAAAGACCACTTCGAAGATAAGATCCTGGTCACTTCCGGTATAACCGGAAGTTGCACAGAGTTCATTTTATTTTAATTCAAAAGAGCATATTCGATTATGTATACTCAGAAAATGGCGAAAATACAAATTAATTTATTCTCCACAAAGTTGTAATGCCCGCCTTACGTGGGACACAGTGTATATATATCTTATATTTAATCAATATACTCTCTATTGAAAAATCTGAAATATGTACTATTTTATATTCATGATAAACTGACATTATTATTATTATACATGTTAAGATAATTACATAGGAAAAATAAAATAATAATTGTTTGATGTGGATGACACCAAATAAAAAAAAATAATAATTGTTATTCACCCAGTAAGTAACATAACTTTATAAGTTGCTGCAAAAAAAATATTTTAACTTCGAGTATATTATATGTATCTTGGAAAATAAAAACTTAAAGGAATTATGTTTTATCTCATTTTTATGACTTAATGACCTATTATTCCCATCAAACACACTAAACTGAATTTTTTCTAAGGTGCATTCTTTAATAGATAATAATTTGTATAATCTTCTCTTCATGAAAATGTAATAATAATAGGTAATCTTAACGCAAGCACTCCTTGTAAGAAAAAAAAACAAATTATAAATTTCATGAGCAATACAGATTTTGTACAAATTAACATTCTTCCAACCTTTGTAATGGCAAATAATCTTAGTACCACGTTAGAAATGATATTCAGTATTAAAAATATTGAAAACTGCATTAGAAATATTGAAGTAATTCCAGAACTCTGCACTGACCATCTTGCAGTACAGCTTATGATAGAAACTGCTAGGGCAACCCCCCCCCTTCCCCAAAATTAACATATACCTTAAAATGAACAAATACTGATAAAACCAACAATGAAACTGAAGTCTTCATACAGAATAATCCTGATCCTGATAAAATTTTCAAATTCATACAAAAACTTCAAAAAACAGTAATACTGAATACACTGCAAGAAAAAGATATACTAATACCAACTTCCACCATACATTCTGAAGCTAATAAAGTCTAAAAGCCAAATGTATCAGCAAATCAAAGCCCAACAGAAAAATGCTGTTTAAGACACATCTGACAGAATCTTGCAAAAGAATTAATAGTGCTCAAGGAAATAATTATTGGCCTGAAATCCAAAAGCTGTCCAATCAATCAATCAGTACTAGTTCAACTATTGAAGAAAACAATCAATCTTACTCTACAAATACAGAAAGTTACAAAACTTTTGCAGATAATTTTGAAAGCACTCTTATCAAAAACAAATGTTAATTTCTGGTATGATACCTTCTATGAAGCTCCCGTAGCTCCACAAGAAATACCTAGCATTGAGGAATAGGACTAATATGGAGTCATACATTCTGGTAAAAATTATTCTCCTAGTTATGACATGACTGCATCAATAGAGACATACTAAGAAAATTAATAATTTCTCTACACACCCATATTTTAAAAATATACAACTACTGTATCCAAAAGCAATATTTTTCAAAGATTTTTGCATAAAACTAATAAAAAGTTTCACATATGGTGATTGATGACTTAAGAGCAAACTGGACATCTCATGAAAGCTAAAAAGTTTTAATATAAAATGGTATTTATAAGCACGCCACTGGGAATAGTTTGTGATATTATGTTTCTTAAGAATATAGACCTTTAAATTTGTGCAGCACTCTACAGAGATGATTAAGAAAAAAGGTGGGAAATTCTCCAATTTAAAACTACTAGATATTTATTAAAACAAAAAGCAGCAAATTTTCATATATACACTTGCGTGCATAGAAATCGACCCACTGTAAACTTTTGACTTAATTATATAACAGTAATATTGTTTAATAATTAAAAAAATATATATAGTTAAAGTCAAAAGTTTACAGTGGACCGATTTCTTTGCATGCAAGTATAGATTTAATACAGAATTTTTTTTTTAATTCTGTTTAAAAATTTTCAAAATAAATACTTTTCGAAGTTTTACAAAAAATCAAGTTTTTTCACGCTAAGTTTTGTTATTATTGATATTTCCTGAAAATTTCACAAAAGTCGGATTAAAAATAAAGGTTCAGAAGGAATTACAAATGTTCAAGGTGTTCTGTTTGCCCTCAAGTAGAACAGGTAGGGAATTTTCAATATGCATAATATAATTTATAATGAGTTTAACAAGGTATAATAGGGACATTCACATGTCAGGCAGATGTCGCTATCGCTTATCATGCATAAAACTGTGTGGAGTGAGCAGAAGTAGTATCGATGCTTGCTCACAGCGGTGACTCTTCATTATATCCTATTAAATTTTGTTTGACTTATTGTAAGGTACCTATTCATTCCCTGTAATAAATAACATACCTGAAGGTGATCCAGATCTATCATGGCTACTTTTCCTAGATCCTTGAGAACTTTGAGATCTGGATCTTGACCTGGATTTAGAACTTGCTCTACTTCCAGTTTTCTGAGAATGAGGGGATCTAGAATTAGATCTCGAAGACTTGGAGCTGGCCACACTTCCAGGTCTTGACCCACTATGTGAACGTGACCGTGATTTCCTTGGAGATGATTGAATAGCGTCACTGCTACCGTTAAGCTGAGGACTGGCTGATCGAGCAGAATGAATGGATTCAACGGAAACCGACCGTGAACCACCGCCTCCAGCAGGTGACTGTGGCTTATCCATGGTATGATTGTTATGGTATCCCTCTAAATAGCAGTGTAAATATTTTTTTTGTTTTTACAAACTATTTTATAAACTTACCTGATTCTACTTCCATAATAATTATGAAATAATGCACTAATTACTCATAAAAAAGTATTTTTATAAATATTTTGACAGATAGGTAAAGGTAAAATGCGTAAAATATTAAAAAGACCCGTAGACTTTGACGTTTAGGTTAAATATTTATCTTCTCATTGACTTTTTAGGTATGGTCTTGTTGTCTTACGTTATTTAGCACTAGAGCATTGTCGTAGATAACGTTGAACTGTGGTCGACTATAGTGGTTGAACTAGGCCATAAGCAGTGTTGCTCGGCCCGGGTCAAAGTGCCAATACTGCAACTCATGAAAGAAGGATAATTATTACAATCCTCTTTCAAAAATTACCATATATCAACTGTTCAGTCACCATGTTTTTAAACATGACTTTACAAAGCAATAGTGCATTCTAGGTACAAAGGAAGTCGATATAAGTTTAGGTTAATAAACTACAAGCTCACCGAAAATCGGGTAAAATCCAGTAAAATCCTCGACGTTGGCAACACTGGCAAAAGAAGAGATTGACAGGTTGACAATTGATTGAAAGTTTGAGATATTTTGACTTTTTAGCTAAATCGTTTTTTTACTTTCATTTTATTTATTAAAAACAAATAACATGGGAGATTCCCTAGAAAAATCTATAATTCATCCTCGAGCTTATTTGTATAAAATTAAAGAAAACAAATTATCTCAACACGAACGAAGAATAAAATATCTGGAAGAACAAAAAGAAAAACGTCAAACATTAACAGATAAAAATCGAGATTTGTGTGATTTATTTATTAAGCAAATTGAAAAATCTTGTAAAGATGAGGAAATGGAATATGAATCGACCCAAATTCGGAAAGAGAGTCAGTTTCATTTTAAATTAATGATGACAGAATGGTTCACAGATATTCCTGATGATTTGGAGGACAACTGGTTTATAAAGCTAGTTCCTGAAGGTTTTCGAATTCTACTTATTGCACGAAACCACCACACATTTATTTACAACAAGAACGGCAGATATTTATTCCAGATAAGAACAAATTTTCCAGGAGGGGGTGGATGCATTGAAAATGGAACTGCAGTATTAGATTGTGTAATGGATAAAAAAAATAAAATTGTATTTGTATTAGACTGTTTGTTTTGGAATTCGATGTCAACTTTAGATAGTGAAGCAAATTTCAGATTCTATTGGTTGAAATCAAAATTCCAAGAAAACCCAGAAATGGGCCAATATTTAAATTATAAATTTGTGTTAATGGACAGTGTATGTGCTGAAAGATCTCTAATTCAAGAAAAAATGTTTCAATCTTTTAAAATAGGAGAGTCTGAAATAATTTATGATGGTATAGCATTTTATCATAAGGAATCTCAATATTCTTTTGGCTATTCACCTTTAGCAACGTGGCTTGCCTCATATATGCTTCCTGAAAAATTAGGTATTGATGTGCCAGAAATCTACTCTGAAAAAAAGCCAAAGAATTATGTAAATTTGCAACATTACATTGAAAATGAAAAATTATTTCATAAAAAGAAAAGGAGATTTAAAAAAACTGATGTTGAAGATATGGAATCATAAGTGTTTTGTAATAATTGTATATAGGTAACTGTTTTAAGAAAAAGATTAAACATGCTGATATTTAATTTTGTTTGTTACTCCCCTTTCACATGGACAGAGACTGCTGGACAGATAGATGTGACCAATAAGGTTGAATGATATGAAAATGAGATGCCATTAAAAAGGCCACACCACTTCTTGCACTCTTGATACCCTGTTCTAGTTGTCAAAACTTTTTGAAATTTGAACATTATGCTTGTGTCCAAAGCAGTATCTTTAAATTATTGTTTAAAAAAAAATCATGACAGAACTGTTCAAGTTATCAACAAAATTAAAAACCCCGAAGAAATTGTTTGGATTAAGTTTTAATTAGTATTATTTAATGTTTCAGCCTTTACTTGATGAAAATCCATTTGATCTTGAAAGAGTAAAACCAAATTTGGTAGATTTTCACACTTTTATTTTAAAAATATAAATTTTTTTTAAAAAACACTAACATGACATATGTTTCGAAGTACAACTTCTTTTTCAAATGTGACTATTTTAAATTCGGTATCCAATATATATATGAAATATTTAACAAAACAAAGTACTTAAGAAAAACATCAATAACATTACAAAATAACTATTTAAAGTAAATAAGGGTACTTAGGTAATTATAATATCAATCAGATAACAATAAGATAGCACATTACCGGGATTATCTCACACAAAACTAGGAAAGAGATTTAATAAGGGTGAATTATTAATATCTAATTGATCATTTAGTAAGTTATCTGAATTTTTAAATCTATTTATTTCAAGTGTTTCTAAATGGTTTAATTTAAGGCTCTTATTTTCTATATGTAAAATTTCAAAGTTATCTGTAAAAGAATGATTTTCAGCTAAAATATGATTTGAGTAAGTAGAATTATTTTTGTTTTTTGTATAGCTATTATAATGTTCAGAATAGCGTTTTTTGAAAGTACGGCCTGTTTGACGAATATACAATTTTGGACAACTACCACAATTTAATTTATATACCCCCGATTTATTATTAGGATTAATTTTACCCTTATTGTTTTTAATATACTTCCCAAGCGTATTATTGGTTTTAAAAGCTACGTTAATATTTTGGTTTTTTAAATATGATGATACCTTTTCACTAGGAGCTCCTATATAATCAAATAACACATAACTACTCTCTGAATAACAATACATTAATTAAACGTGTTACCGAAATTAAAGACCTGGGAATCGTGTTTTGCTCAGATCTTTCGTTTAATAATCATATCAATCTTATAGTTAATAGAGCAATGAAAATGTTAGGCATGCTGATAAGAAACTCTAGCTCGTTATCTTTAGATGCCTGTAGAATGGTTTATATTGCATATGTGCGGTCCATTTTGGAGTACAGCTCTACCATATGGTGTCCATTTTACATAAACTCTGTAAAAAGGATTGAAAATGTCCAAAATAAATATCTACGATATTGTGCCTTTAAAGTTGGTCTAGCAGCAGGTACATATAATTATTCCACAATTCTGGATTTAATAAACCTCCCAACCCTTGTTAATAGAAGAATATTGATGGATCTATCATTCCTCCATAAGATCATAGCCGGGATTATTACTTCTGATGAGTTATTAGCTATGATTGAATTTAGAGTTCCCACAAGAACTACAAGAAATAATAGTTTATTTGCCATTCAACTTCACCTTACCAATTATGCTTATCATGCACCTCTACCTAGACTAATGCGACTGGCTAATCAATACAATTTAGACATCACTGGGTGTTCTATTAGTCAATTTGTGAATGATGTAAAGAGAATTTGTTTTTAATATCTTTAGTTTAGTTTATTACATTTCATATATGAAATTTTAGATTTATTGTGCCTACCTTTTTTTTTTTTTTTAATGTACTTAAGTTATTTTATTTTATGTAATTTATTGATACTAATGGATTATTCCGTAATATATATATTTATTTATTTATTTATATATGTAAGACTTATATCTGCAATTTTGATCTTTAATTATGGGATAAACTTGTTGAATAGCCTGTTTAAAAAGTTTTTTCTCTAAAATGTTGTCTACTAACTTTGAATTAAAATTATTATTTACTGCGATTTGTTTAATGATATTTAATTCTTTTGTGAAGTTCTCTTTGGTAAGGGGAATATTAACTAATCTATGGATCATACTGTTGTATGCTGCCAGCTTTTGTTTGTATGGATGAGATGAACTATTATTTATTGTAATATCAGTATGTGATGGCTTATGAAATATACCAAAATTTTTAAAAAAAATTATATTTTTAAAATAAAAGTGTGAAAATCTACCAAATTTGGTTTTACTCTTTCAAGATTTTAATTAGTAAGTAAAAGTAGGTACTTTTATACAATACTTAAAATTATTATAGATTTCCAAAAGATCCGTGATAATAAAAATCTGGTCAGTCAGAATATGTAGCAAAATGTAATACTTTAATTCTTCCTATCATTGGTCAACAGTTCTCTATATCAAAATGATTTAAATAGAATTAGACTGTCAGATAGTGACTGATTTAGGTGCCTCATTTTCGCATACAAGCCTCGAAGAGGGTTGAAAAGTACATGGATGTTGAGTAGAATAAAAGGAAATTTATTATCAAAGCTATAACAACTTATAACCATACAACATGAACAATTACATGAATAACAGACAATTTAAAAGTCATTGTAAAATTTCTTCAAAGTTTAACTGCACATTTTGAAGAAATTAGAAATTTTATTTTATTATTATTAAAAATCCACTGATAGTTTGCCTGTCAGAAACGCATTTAACTTCGGATATATATAATAATGAAATAAATATTAACAGTTATATAATATGTAGAGCTGATAGCAACAGTCGACATACTGGGGGAGTTATCGTCTATGTGAATCAGATATTACAAATTTTAGATATTAAGATAGTAATTTTAGATATTAAGATAGTAATTTTAGATAGGACTTATTGGTTACTTTCAGTAAAACTCTTATATAATAACAAAGAGTTTATGATAGTATGCCTTTATAGATCTAGTACTGGAATTAATTTGTTTCTTGACTTTTTTGAAGAATGGTGTGAGCTGAATTTAACTGATGTTAACTTAGAAGTTATTTTGCTTGGGGATTTCAATATTGATTGGTATAGTAATTCAACTTATTCAAAAATATTGTTACTGATACAGGTTTTAAGAATGTGGTAAAATAATTTACACATGCAAATACTCATATTAATTGATTTAATTATTACAAACTCAGACATTACAACTGAAGTAATAGACACACCAAAAATCAGTAGTCACAGAAATATTATTGCAAAACTAAACCAACAAAAAAAAACAGAAAAGGGAAACGATAGTTATTGAAAGTAGAGGTAGGTTTATTGATTATATAATAATTAATAATAATCTAAAAGATATTACATGGAATTATTGGTTACATGATATTAATAAAAAATACAGAAAATTTTTAAATAAAATGTTGAAAGTGGTCAATGAAGTGGCGCCAAGAAACAAGTAAAAATTTTACCATATTATCAGTACTGGTAGAATGATCAGGTTAGAGCTGCTACTAATGTGAGAGATAAAAGTTATAAAACATTTATTACTAACAAATCAGAAAAAAACTGGCAAATATATAAATGTAATAGGAATAAAGCAGTGAATGTAATTAAAAATGAAAAAAGCAAATACTTAGAAACTAAAATAGATTTAAACAAGGGTAACCCTACTGAGATGTGGAAAACTTTGAAATCTGTTATTCCAACAGCTAATATTAAATTCGACAATATTTGTGACATTCGTCAGGATTTTACTTAACATATGTAAAGAATATTGAACAAATATCTAAGCAGTTACCTTCTATTAATAATTATCCGATTATACCTCGTCTAAGTGAAATTGAAACTTTTGTAAATTTTAAACTAATTAATTAAAATGAATTAAGAGAAATATTATTTTCAATGGCAAATAAAAATAGTCCAGGCGAAATATCCACAATTTTATTAAAAGAATGTTTTGAGAGTTTATCCCAACCTCTATTACATATAGTCTAAGATCCGAAGTAAGGTCGACCTTCACCCATCTGTTTAATGGATGAAAGTTTCTTTTAATTAAATAAAATATTTTTATAAATATATCGCAAAAGGTTTTCCTAACAAAATACGGTCCAGACTATTTATTTTTTTTAAATAAAAAAAATGACACCCTGTTAAGCATTCCCCAGATGCTTCGACAATGCCCAGGGCCGACTAGAGGGGGTGGTAGGCGAGACTAATTCCCGGGGCCCGGACTGAAATGGGGGCCCGGCAACTGGATTTTTTTGTTTTGTATGAGAAACTCAACACGAGAGGGGGAAGTTTTTGCTTGAGGACCTCTCTTTTTTTTTATAAAAAGCAATTGAAGCAGAGGAGGAAAAGTTTTAGCTTGGGGATCTTTTTTTTTATTGGAAAATTCAATTCAAGTAGAGGAGGAAAAGTTTTTGTTTTAAAGAGCTTTTTTTGTCACAGGGCCCGATCAAGAGAATTGTCCTGGGGCTCAGCCCGGCTCTCGGCGGCCCTGACAATGCCTAAACTTTAATCAGCTTACCGCAGGATAGATTAAAGCTTAAGTTTAAAATTTGGTGTTTTTTCTTTATCCGTTTTTGGGTTGTCTTCAAAATTCGAAATTAGCAGTTTTCCTCATATATCTCGAATTAGGTCCATTTTAGGGAAATAATGTATAGAGACAAAATAATAGAGAATGGCATCTTAAGCAACCTTTATCATGATTCCTATACTTTCCTTATCTGTACACAGAAAGAAAAGCAAAAAATGGCCTGACCGTATTTTCTTAGGCAACCCATTTGCGGTATATTTAAAAACATATTTTGTTTAATAAAAAAAACTTTTATCCATTAAACAGATGGGTGAAGGTCGACCTTACTTACGGATCTTGGACTAATATAAATTTTTCCATTGAAACAAGTTTAGTTCCGGATGATATTAATCCAAGTAAGGCTACCCATTTAAGACTAATAAATTTAATCAGTGCTGTTGGAAAACTAATACAAAAAGTAATATATCTTCAAATTATTGATTATTTAGAGGGGAACAGTTTATTGATAAGTAATGTGCAATCAGGATTCCATAGTAAACTGTGAAACTGCTTTACAGTTGGTGTTGCATGACTGGAAGTTATCAATTGAAAATAATTTGGTTACACTGACGGTGTTTTTAGATTTACAGATGGCATTTGAGACTATAGGGGTAGATTAATAATACATTTAAGAGCTATTGGTTTGGGGGTTGTGCACTGGACTGGTTGGGTCATTATATGGAAAATAGGAAACAGAAGATTAAGGTACGTAATTGTGTTTCAGATACTATAGAGCAGCTATTCTCAACCGCTGGTCCGGCGGACCATTAGTGGTCCGCGGAGAAATTTTACTGTCACGCAATTTACTGTCCACAATTTTTTTTTAACAAATCTACTGGTCCGCGGGCCAAAAAAGGTTGAAAAACGCTGCTATAGAGAATAATATGGGGGTGCCACAGGGTAGTGTTCTAGGTCCGCTACTGTTTTTAATTTATATTAATGACATTGCTGGTGTAGTTGAAAGATGCTCAATACACTTATTTGCAGCAGATGGTACACTGATATATTTTACCCATGAAAACACTGAAACTTGTTTTAAAAAAATTAATAGTTCTATAAGTAAAATATATGATTATTATAACGGAAACTCGTTGAAAATAAATTACGAAAAGACAAAGTGGATATTAATTGCGGGGGTACCGGAAATTTAAAAAAAATTAAATGGAGCATCGTGTGTTTCTGTTCATGGAATAAAGTTTCAGAGAGTTGAAAAATTTAAATATCTAGGGGTTATGGTTCATACAAATTTACAATTTAAGGAACATGCTAATAACGCCATCAAAAGCATATCATTTAAAATCAACTATTTGAGGCAGTGTTCCCCATATCTCAGCAAATGGGCTAAAATAATAATTTGTAATACTCTAGTATTACCTCATATTATTTATTTATATTTTAAGATTAAATCAGGAATCTCCCCAGTATATTTACAAAATATTTTAAGTTATAATCAGGATGTTCATGAACACAATACACGAAATAAGAAAAAATTTAGAGTTAATAAGGCCACGAAAAAATGTACACAAAATTCAGTGTTTTTTAAAGGTGTACAGGCTGTTAATAATTTGCCTGAAGATATTAAATGTTCTTCAAACGCAGCAATATTTAAAAGAAAACTGCGTGAATACTTGCTGGCCAATCGACGTTTTTTTTCTTGTTCTTTTATTATGTACTGTATCTTATGTATTTTTTATTGTATGTTGATTCTATACTTAGGAATTTTTTATATTTTAAATGTGAAGATGTATTGACATGTAAAATATAGTTTTTTTTTTTTTTGACTAAATAAACGATTTATAAATAATATGATTTTTTCCAAAATATACTAAGAATTCTTTAAAAAATATATGTTTTCGTCAGTTTAATATTATTTGGCAACTTATTGTACATTTTAATCCCATTATAAATAAGAGCCTTTCACTAGTTCAGATTAAAATTTAACTACAAATTTACCATTCATACCTTAAATATATTGAAACCCCCCAATTTCAATATATTTTAATAACAAATCCATAAACAAATATTGCCATTCATAAAATTTAATATTCGTACCGTATGGTAATCAAAGGTAGTCAACTTGTCGCGTTACATGAGCGTTAGCATAGGTCGTTTTGTTTTTATGTATGTTACAAGTAGTTTTAAGAATGAACAACGATGTTAAGGTTAATATTTCATGCCCGACAAAAAATAGCTTACATGCCTCAAGATTCTTCATTCCACATAAAAATCATAATGCTCTTTTGCAGACAAAAAACGGTATTGAACAACTCCCCAAAATAATAAACACTTTAAGCTAGCTTGAAACCTAATTATTTTGCCACCGTTCTTACTGCAAAATACCCAGAAGAAAGTTTTTTTGTTTAGCAATTCTATATGGTTCTAAAATTTCAAATTATTGTCAAAATTAATGCCCAGAAATTTTATTTTGTCAGTACATTCAATATTATGACTTCCTGATTCTTTGGCAGGGTACATTTAAGGGTTACCATTTTAGTTATTTCCATATTTACATACAAATAGTTGACATCGCACCATGCTTTAAATTCTTAATGTCACAGCATATATAATATATATGGTGTTAAAAAGAACGCAGATGTCATTGCTGTGCTATAAAAACATGGCGCCATTAGCAAATTGAGTGAAAGTACCTGTAATTTTAAGTTATAAATGAGGAATAAAATGGGACCCAACACAGAACTCTGAGCGACTTCCCAACTAATATATCTAAAACTTGAAAATCCATAGTAGCTCTTACCATTTGCTTACGTTCTGAGAGATAAGATTTTATCCAAGTCAGTGCTTCGTTTTTGATCCAGTAAACTCGAAGTTTTTGCAACAGTACTGTATGATTGACACAATCGAACGCCTTAGTCAAATCACAGAATATCGCGGTTACAGCCTTGTCAAAATTAATTTTAGAATAAGCAAGTTCAAAAAGTCGTTCATGCTATTCACAGGTAAAAAGAAACGATTTTTAACAATCCAGAAAAAATATCTTTATAAAAAATAACATTTATCTTTAATCATATACAGATGTGGTAGGAAAATATACATTAACAAATAATATTATTAAAATGGTTTCAAAAATATAAATATTGAAAGTACAGTAGGTACCGCTAATCTAGTTGAGCAAATACATGCAGTTGACGAAACCTAAATGTGAACACCAAAATTTAATGATGTGATTTAGATTTTGCATCATAGTCGTTCGTCGCATTCAAATTTGACAGCTCTTAAAAATTATTGTCAAATAAGTGTTCAAAAATCCCCCTACGAATTATTAAGACCATCCCCAAACCCCAAAGGTGAAAACAAAAAAGCATGTCTTTCAAATCTCCAAGTATTTGTTTTCACCTTTGGGGTTCGGAGGTGGTCCTAATATAATTCGTAGGGGGATTTTTGAGATTTGTTTCCGAATTTTCAAAAATTATTTATAACTAATTTCAGATACTTTGAACTTTCGGATTTCGATTTGCGATATATTAAATTCAGGATTTACATATTCAGGTTTACGTCACTTAACGTACATTGAAAACTCACGCAGATAAAGATATGGGCTTAGTATGCATCAATGCTGTATAGTTATTTGAAGATTTGAGAACGAGCTTGAAACCGCGTCAGGCTCGAACTAGTCTAGAGAAAAAAGGAGTGCAGTAATTTAATTTGCACAACGTAGTACAGGTTTAAGTTGTAGACATTTTATTTATAACTCATCCTTCAATGCTTATTTGTAGTTAAAACGAAAATTTTAATACATCTGATTTAATCATGTTTCTATGGTTTTTACTGTAAACCTTTTATTTTGACAGATAAATCAGACTTTATTTATTCATAGCCGTATCGTATGCTAATTGATTCGAAATTTTGTATTAGTATATATTATAATTTTACAGTTATATAAGAATGGCTAGTGCAGAAAATACTGCAAGCACAAGTACACGTAAACGACCTAGTGGACATAAAGCATTATCTTTAGCAAAAAAAAAATATCGTATTTAATGTATTTAATATTGTTTGAAAAGACTTTGTTTCACTTTCTGTGGATGAAATAGCCACTAAATGTGAGATATACTAGATTATCTAAGCGTGCAGTGTATAACATTATTAAAGAAGATACAGCTATTGGAGAATCTCACATCCGAAAAAGCCCCCAGGAAGAAACAAGACCTTTATTGAAACTTGGGTACATCCTTTTTTCTTTCGAAATTAAATTCCTACACGCAGGAATAGAAAATAGCCTCACTTCCAAATATCATATTTTCATCTGCAGAAAATATTACATGTAATAATAATATTACATTACTTGTAATAGCAAGGCAACATAAAAACAAGTTCAAAAAATATTTTATAAACGAGATATCCCGAGAAAAAGGAATTAAAATTCTCAGATTGCCTCCTTACCACGCAGAGTTAAATCCCATTGAACTGATCTGGTCACAATTAAAAGGTTATGTTTCTAGAAACAATTTAAATTACCTGATGTGTGAAATTTGTTATTGAAGGCAGTTTCAGATGTAAATGAAGAATATTGGAGAAAATGCATTGATCATGTTAAAAACGTGGAAAACACATTTTCAAAAGTGGATATAGCAATGGAAAACTTAATAGACCCTAAAATAATAAACCTCAGAAAAGACAATGACACTAGTAGTTATTTATAGTGAAGACAGTGAGTGAGGTAAGGGCATTTATATACAGAACAAAGATGCCTGGGTTCGAATCCCGATGGCCACAGTCTTTTTTCAAAGTATTTGTTTTCATCTTTGGGTTTTGGGGATGATCTAAATAATTCGTAGCAATTTTACAGATTTGTTTCCGAATTTTCAAATTATTTCTACAACTTATTTCAGATAATTCTGACTTCTCGGATTTCGATTTGCGATCTACGATATATTAAATTCACAATTTTCACTTAATTATATTTGTACTATTGTATTGTTTTATATTAGAATATATTCCTCCTAATAAAGATTCATTAATTCATAATAAATAATCGCTTTCTGTAGTTTTATATGCCTAAATTTAATTTTGTAGTCTGTTTATTTTCTTATTGCACATTTAATGTAGAAAGACCGGTTCGACAAAACGACACTAATAAAAGTAATTATTCTCCTTTCTCTTTGTAACACCACTGACCAAAGCCAAAAGAAATTAATTTTTGTAAAAAATGACAACCAACGAGCGTTTCACATTTTGATTGCGCCGACTGTATATAAAAAATATGAGAAAGTGTATAAATAATTCTGAAATTGACTCGGTATTTCCGATTTATAAAATTTTCAAATAAAAAGGTCAAAAAATTAAAATTAATAAAATTAACTCAATTGATCCAGACAGTTCGCGTCTCCTGATATGCCTAAAGATAATATTTCTTCAAATTTATAACGTAAATCCTGATTTTGATGAATCAGATATGGAGTTGGAAGACTAAATAGTTCTTGGGCAAGGCTTCCACTCAATGAACTCTGATCCGAAATTGATTCTGTATCCGATTTAGGTTTTGATGCAGCCGCCTTAAAAAGTATATCAAAATGGGCAGCCTTATTTTGTTCGAATGATTGTAGTAATTCTTCATTATGAATGTTATACTCTTGAATCCACTTTTTTAACTCAAAACAATGGCACATAATAACTCCTATGGCACTTGAAAAGGCCTTTAACTCCTTATTTCTAAATACTCGTTCCTTAACTCTTATAATTCCCGAAATTAATTTAGTAGTATTAGATATCACTTGATTTACTTGAGTTGCATTAGTAACATTACTTTTTTCTATAAGCATTAAGACTTTTTTATACTCTTCCTCCATGTTGTAGCTTTCAACTATAATTTTAATTTTTTCAGTTACAGAATATAAAACTTTTATTCTATTACTCACACATTTAATTTTATTATCAAATTGAGCAAAATTACTAACGCTTCTCTCAAAACTGGCTATAAGTCTTTGAGCATGATTTAGACATGCCCTGTATTCATTATTATATCTTAAATCTATATCACCAATATTTTGAACCTTAATTTTATTATAACAATCGATTTTGTTTACTAATTGGTTAACTTTAGATATTGTTATAGTTTTAAGATTTTTTATTTTATTTATTATATGGTATAAGAAATTTAAATATAAATGGAAGCTAGTTTTAAAATGATAAGCTGTAGTTTTTTCTATTGTAATAAAATAAATCAACTGTGATTTAAGTGGTTTTAAAAATTCTAAATTAAACTTTAAAGCCGATTTCATGACTTCTCTGATAAGCTTTGGATTATTATACGTTATCTTTTCAGGTAAAAAATGTTTAGCAGTAACATAAATGTATGTTGTATCCTTCAATACATTGAGCAATAAATCATTATCTTGTACATTAAAAGCTTCATTAGAAATAAGCAAAAGTAAATCGGTCTTAGGAACTTTAATGTCCCTAGATATCCAATCTTTGAGTGTACCAATTTGAGTACACTCGGTTATCTCGTAGGAATAAAATTCTAGTCTACATAATGAAAATACATTCACAATAGTTTTCTTCAAAATACTGTTTAAGTAGTCTAATGTTCTGGTATTGTCAGGAAAATTTTGTGATCTAATGTTTTGATCGTAAGTCAGTACATGCCTGAGCCAAACTTCAATATTTTGCTTCAAACAAGTTGAAATTAAATTTTCTTTTTTTATTTCTGGAGAATATGTTATTTGGCCTGAATAATTCAAGTAGATGCATATATCTTCGGGACCTAAAACGAAAATCATAATTAAGTATAAGCAAAGAAGTAGGTAATAGTAAGAAAATTATCACTTATACTAAATTATTCAGGGCGTTTCCAAATAGCATGTCAATATTAAAGATTGAAGGAGGTATTTTATTTTTTGTTATTTTTACAGCCTTCGGACCCCCTAATCCGTTTGTAGCGAGGCGACACTGCAGCATGCTGGTTATTGTACCACCATTTGAAGATCCTACTACTTTACCATTCACCAATGAGCTTAGAAACGATATTTGAATTATTTTTTATAAAAAAGGGTAGTTTCCAGCTTGAATTTAGCAATTTAGTTGGTTTCTCTATAGCTTTTTTTGCGGAGCCTGTCGTGGAGATGTCGCCGACAGGCTCCGCGAACAAGCTATTTATAGTTAATTCATGAATTATCAAAGTTCTAATAAATAGGCCACGCCCGTTTTTCTTGTAACGGCGAGGCCGGTACACTACGTCATCGCAGCCGATCGCCTGCTAGGCAGTTACGTTTATGTAGTAAATATTATTACGCCTTTGATGTTTGAGTTTTTCCAAATGTCTGCTCAAAATATTAGGTATAAATATTGCATTGTGCCGAAACGTACAAATACGATAATAATTACACCAAATAAAGTATTGATTGGTGTGCCAAATAGAGAAAATACGGAAACTGGTATAATGCAATGAAGAGAGACATTAAAATAAACAAAGTACTTTCGAGTATATGTAAACGGTTTCGTTGTGAAGATCATTTTGAAGTAAGTCAATTTGTAAATGAATTAAGGTAACTATTGGTGCAGAGAAAAGACGTTGCGTTGAAATCCTCCAAAATATAGTCATTAAATATCACACACACTTCAAAATCAGTAGAGTGGGTTAATTGTAGTAGTGGTGCTACCGAAGATAACCCACTCGAGCTCATTGATGACAGACCTACTCTTGTTCCCAATAACAATCATAGGAGACAAAACATCCAAGTGAAAAGAAAATACTTCTCTCGATCTAAACAAGTCCAAACTGATAATACCGCGAACAAATTAAATGTGTCATGTTCTCCAATAAAAATAGCAGTAACACATGTAGGTACTTCTTTTTAAATATTTTTTTTTATAATAATATTAGTCTTTCGACGATTTTGATTATTAAACTTTGCAGGTTTGTAGTACTTTGAGGATAATTTAAATCTAATTAGATTAAAATTATTAAATCCAGTAGCGTTTTGACAAGGAATTATCTCCTTCAAACAGAGCCCTAACCTTGTGGAGTTGGTATGGCATTGTGCTAGGCATCCATCAATCGATAGATGCAAAAAAGTATTAGAAATGGTGGTATAACTATCCAGAAGTGAGAGAGGCCAAAGAGTTCATTAAGGAATGACAAATTATTATGATAACAATAGGTCTTCTAAGTCACATGAGTCACCAATCCAGCAGAAGAAGCAACATTGTGCAGGTTATGTGAAGAAGAAGAAACATCAATCCAAGTCATGTGGCAGTGAAAATACCTGGCTAGATTGATGTTTCTAGTACTAGGTGAAAAAAAGATAGCATGTAACTATATGAGGTAGCCACTGTCAAAGCTACTATGTTTTTATTGAATAAGCTAGTACCCAATAACAAAAACGAATTTCTTCTGCTTTACAATTAGGTCAAATAATAGTACAATTCCAGAAACTATTCAACTTGAAACGCACAGTGTATTATTAGCTCAAAACAAAAAAATTTTTGGTGTATATATAGATCATAATTTTGATTTTGAAACACATCATTGAATTCAATAGAAAATTAACATCCATCTGTTATTCATTTAGAATTTAGAGTAACATCAAAATATTTGGAACTTAGAGCCACTTGCTTATGAGATTTGGGATTATGTTTAGCGGAGCAAGTAGTATAGCTCGACATAAAGAAGGCAATTAGAATTATTATCGAATCTAACTTACACAGAGTCATTTAAACAGTTGAAAATAATGACAATGGTACAAACTTATACAGTGAGCACCATAAGTCTTAACCCCCCCTATCTAACTCGTTACTGGAGTCTTGTTAGGAAAATCGCCGAGACAGGTCGATTTTTGATTTCTACAATGTACGTTTTTGTATGAATAGTTTACCCTTAATTTCATCCCTTACTGGAGGGGAGCAACCCTTTCGAAAAATTTAAATGGCATGGGGTGGTGAGTGATAGCTCATTTGAAAGAGGGTTTTATTCTCTATTCAACCGTGTAAAAAAATTTGAAATTTGCTTCTTTAATTCTCAACTAATTGTTGTTTCAGAATAACGGAAATTAACGTAGCGCACTCATCCTTAGAATTAAAATTCGGCCCTGCATGACTTCGGTTTTGGTTCAGACGTGAAGTAAGACTTTTTGCCATTAGAAGGTCACTGTTAGTCTAGTTGCTTTCCTATTTTGTGAGGTTTTGTTATTTTTAAACATTAATAAATCAATATGTAATGATGCAAATTTTAAATTTTTTTTGCACGGTTGAATAGAGAATAAAACCCCCTTTCAAATGAGCTATCACTCACCACCCCATGCTATTTAAATTTTTCGAAAGGGTTTTTACCCTCCAGTAAGGGATGAAATTAAGGGTTAACTAATCATGCAAAAATGTACATTGTAGAAATTAAAAATCGACCTGTCTCGGCGATTTTCCTAACAAGACCCCAGTAACGAGTTAGTTAGGGGGGGTAAGACTTAAGATGCTCACTGTATACGGTATCGGCCAACGAATACCTTCTAATATCCCTTGGAACAAGTACGTGTGAAAACTACAGAGAGCCAGCACTTGATCAAGTACTACTTGCGCTAGTGCTGGCTCTCTGTAGTTTTCACAAGCACTTGTACCAAGGGATAATAGAAGGTATTCGTTGGCAGATTAATGTTTCTGATTAAAAATCACGTTAAATTTGAACAAAACATGGGATACAGCTTAATTTAAATACAAGAAATCATATATTAAACAATGTACCAACTCATAGAGTTTCATCAACTGAAAGGCAGCCTAAATATGTTTGCATCCAGTTCTTCAATGAGTTGCCAAACTATATAAAACGTAAAACCAACTTAAAAAAAGTGAAAAACTTATATTTCTTATTTGATCTTAAACTTAGAACCTTATATACAGTAGAGATTTCCTGGAAATAAATTGGCTTTGAACATTTTCGAGTGCTAATGGAGTCCACAACAAAATCAATCCATTTTCGTTTGTTGTTTATTGTTGTTTCTCGTTTCAATAAAATATTTTTTTTTAAAGTTTATTTTATGAATTCATTTTGTTAGACTATTGATTATTGTATATTCCATATTGTAGCCATTTTATATTGATTGTATGTGATGCCAGTCACTTTTATTTTATGTAAGCTTGTAAATATATATTTTCTATTCTACTAAGTCCAAGACCAAGTTTGATGACATAACTCTAAATAACGGAAAATGGTCGCGGTGGATAAGGACAAATAATGTTTTACTACTTTCAAATCTAATATACCTCCAATATTGATATGACATTTAGGAACACCAAATATGTAATTGAATATTTTTACAAGTATTAAAATAAAAAGTTTTTAATGGCTCTGTAGCAAAATAGCGCTATTGTTAAAGCCCCAAATCAAAATGGCTTGTTTCGAAATAGCGCTAAACGCACCTATTCAAAATAGCGCGCATCGAAACTGCGCCTGAACGAAATAGCATTTATTTAAATAGTACTAGTAAAAACAGCGCCTTAATAAAATAGCTCCGTTTGAAATAGTAAGTATAGAAACAGCATCAGTCCCAAATGGCTGTCACGAAATAGCGCAATTGGCTTTTCATAAATTAATAAAAATTTACCTAACCTGTGCGGTCTGGAGTCATTTAAATGTAACCGATCGCTCACGCACAGGTTATATAAATTGGTTAAGTTTTTTAAATTTTCTAATTTTATGTATAATTTTTTGCGAAGCAGCCCGCGATGGCTTCAGGCTTGCACAGGTTAGGTAAATCAGTTAAGTATTTTGATAATTACAATTATAGTTTTTTGGCCCTATTTTGACTGACGCTATTTCGCCGTTTCGTTCAGGCGCTGTTTTGACTGACGCTCTTTTGGTACACGCTATTTCGTTCAGACGCTCTTTTGATGTTCGCTATTTCGTTCAAGCGTCTTTTTCTATATATGCGCTAATTTGTTCCGGCACTCTTTTAATGCATACTATGTGACTCCATTCGACCGACAACCAGGGTTCGGAGGATATATATCAAGTGATATATATCAAGTGATATATATCATGATATATATCATGATATTTATATCTTGGTATATATCCAATATATTCGATAATTTTATTTATTAAATTATACGCCCCTGTATAAAAGTATAATAACTAGCGATTAATATGTGTTTGTGTAAAATATTAATGTTAAAATCTGTTAATTTTATAAATTATTTTTGTTTTTTCTTTTTAATTTGAGTTAGAATAAACGGTTTTGTTGTTTAGAATATAAGTTTTTGTTAATATGTTTGTGTTAAAATTTAAAATATAGTTTGTGCAAGAAACAATACTGTTTTTAATTAAATAATTAAATTTTAAAACTGATATATATCGGATATATATCAGATATATATCATGTGATATGATATTTATATAAATATCATGATATTTTCGAACCCTGCCGACAACGCTCTACCCCTGAGAACTCTCATTAATTGATGAATTTTGATATAGAAACATGAACCCTTAAAGAACTTAGTTAACGAGATACAGGATTTTAAAAATTTTAAACCAAATTTTTTTTGAAATATGATCTATATACTTACCAAGATCTTGTCAAATACCTGAACTATTAAAAATTTGTCACGTGCCTACTATATTAGAATTTAGAAATATTGAGTGGTCACAAATTATTTAAGTTGTTGCAGACTTTTGTTTAGCTCCATTAAAAAAATTGTTTCAGTAGTGTAAAAAATAGGGCATAAAAGTTGCCACTAACCCTAATAGCGCGCCACTGGTTAAATTTTTAAAAGTTAGTACATGTCAAAATATTACTATCATAAAGAGCACATTGGTCACCAAATTTGACAAAAATATTTATGTCAAATTTTGAATTATAATTTCAAATTTTCAACACCCTGTATCTCGGAAACTAAGCCCTTTAGAGGTTCTTGTTCCCATACCAAAATTCATCAACTACAAAGAACTCTGAGTTAGAGCGTTGTCGGTCAAATATAGTGACATCCTATAAACACAATAGTAATATAAAAATTATAAATGGTAAAAACTTCCCTACACATATAGTCGGACCTGAGTAATTGAAATGGGTGATTACTTCAGTGTTTATATTAATTTTAAAAGAGCTGAGCTCTTCCTACAATTAACATTTTATGTAGAATTCAAATAATTTGATAAACAATGTGTTAAAATTTACGTCAAGTCAATATTTACCTATTTTGTTCATTTTGTTGTATTTTATAACAATATGAGTATAATACAATTTTCTTTATTTATTTTTTTTATTATTATTATCTTTTTGTATCTTTGGATAATCCAAAGCTTTTTGTGGGCTTCAGTACGCTTTAGGTACGTCGAAAAAAATTGTATACACTAAAAAGTACCCATTCAAGATTGGTCGTAGTAACTATATTTCATGGTAAGTACAACTCGTTTTATATGTCTTTGATGGATTTTTTATATACCTGTACTATTGAGGATATAGTTTAAACTTTCTTACACCAGCACAACAACTTCTAATAGAATATATTTTCAATTAAAAATATCGAGGCCAGTATACTGGCTAAATAATTTATTAAAAATCCAATAGTTGGCTCCTTGGCCGACATCTAGACAATGATCGATAATTTTGTTCCATATCATTTATTAACTTAAAACATCAACTACAGAGTGTTTCATAATTATTGTGACAAACTGATAGGGATTGTATAGAGTATCAAAATAAGCAAGTTTGCCTCATCTGGAAATGAGCCGTTAGGGCACTATATCAATTAAAAAGTGAGAGGAGCAAAAAGTCCATCAGTTGCAAAAGGTTCGTCTCGCTTACTGTCTTGTTCTATAGTCTGGATAGATAAGTTTAAAAAATTAACTGCGCCATTCCCCCACCCACACTGGCTTTATGTATTTACTTTTTTTGTGAACTTTAATTCGTCACGCCTGGATCACAGGGTTTTTTATCAGTGCAGTTAATTTTTTAAACTTATACAGGCCACAGAACAAGACGAACCTTTTGCAACAGGTGGACTTTTTGCTTCCTTCAATTTTTAATTGCTGTAGTGCCCCAACGGCAAATTTCCGGATAGGAGTTTAAGAGGCAAACTTGCTTATTTTGATATTCTCTACAACCTCTATCAGTTTGTCATAATAATTATGAAACACTCTGTACATGATTACCTCTTTACATTTTGTTCTTATGTCCATTTGAAATTGTGACTGACTACACTAGATTGTTGAACAAAAAGTTGTTTGCGATATCGATCTCTATAATTTTTGTTTATATATGATTTTTCTAAAATGGACCATAATGGAAAAATTAAAATTTTTCAGTATTTTCGTTTTCAATGAATATATATAGAAAAATGTTTCCAGGTAGATGTATGTGGAAAATGTATATATTTAGTTTATCCTCTAAATATTTATAGAGGTGCTGCAATAGGTTGTACAAAATAACCGGAAAAAGCCTATAATAACTAGATAGGAAAGTCATGTGTATTTTAGTATTTAAATTTTTTTTCAAAGTTCCATATACCTAAACTGTACCAGATCCCCTTTTGTGAGAACCCTGAAGCTTCAAATTAACCAGGTCCAACTATGGTTATAAATTACAATGTAAATACCTTTCTTCTTTATTTTTTCGAATCTTTCAAATGGGGTTTTAGTAGGTAGAAATGGTAGTACCCCACATATTAATTCAAATGTGAGTATTCCCATAGACCAATAATCTACGCTGTTGTTATATTTTTGAGTTTCAAATATCTCTGGGGCTAGATAGTGTAAAGTGCCAACGAAACTAACAACAGTATCTCCTAGTTCTTTTGCATAACCGAGATCAATTATCTTATAAACTGTATCATTTTTTCTATTATCACAATGCTGTAGTACAATATTATCAGGTTTAACATCTCTATGTGTTATTTTTAGGTTATGCAGATGCTGAAGTCCCTTAGAAATATCCTCCAAAATACAACGAACATCATCCTCTTCCATTCCAGAAATATTTTGCGGCCTAAGCAGTACATGTCTTAAATTCCCCTTACGGCAATATTCCATAGGAAGTAATGGTAATCCAGTAGGATTATTTTTCATCAAGAACTCTTGTAAATCTTCTGGTATTGTTTTGTATTTGATTATATTGGAGTGGTTAATAATTTTCATAATATCTACTTCATTATTCCATCGTTCCTTTTGTTTTTCAGTTAAAATGTTGTTTGTTTTAAATCTACACATTTTTATTGCAGTGCAGTCATCATTTACTTTATTTTTCCATAAAGAAACTACGCCAAATGCGCCTGAACCCAAATCACAAATTTTTTGCCAACTTCCTACTTGCATTTTCAAGTAGTATGATTACATAATTAATAAAACCTGTTTCTCTCTCAAATCATGTACTAAATTTAGTTTAGATACAAATAAAAATCAAATTTTATACCAATCAATGCCTTGTTCTTTGTTTATTTATATAACATAAAACAACTGTTCACTGATAAAACAAATAATCAAATATCAAACCAAAATAAATAAAGTATTAGTTGCTAACTTCACATTGTTTAAAATAAGAAGAACCAAGTTTATTTAAAAAATTACGATTTAATTATATGAATTAAAATTTTCGCACATACATTTACTGCTTGAATAAAAAGAATAATAATTTATTATTACAATAATATTATTTGTAGCTTTTTCTTTAGTCATGTTTTTGTTGTTCATTGAAAATTAAAATTTTTAGATTGAAATGTTCAATAGTGTTATAAGTGTTGCATACGTTTGATTCTTCTTTTTTTTGCGCAGCGCAGTTGCCAGTCTTCATATTGCCGGATCATCGATTGCGCGAATTTAAAAATCTGATGTGTCCAACACATATGACTTTCCTATCTATTAGTTATTATAAGCTTTTCCCGGTTATTTTGTATAGAGAAAGTAAAAGTCGAAAAGTCTTTTGGTAGGTAGAGAGGGGGTAAACGTCAAACCACGTCGGGCGACTCCGAGAATTTCACAGTAATGTTTACCTGCCAGTGTCGTTTCATAGAATAAATAATTTTAAATTGTTATCGGCGGAACCGGACAATCGCATGTATTTATGGATTACAAATAATTATTAAACATGTATTATAATATTCTAATTATAATTTTACAAAATTTCAACAGCTATTCACAATTTATTAAACTATTTACTCGAAATTATTGTTATTAACATCTATAAAATAATTTTGTACGCCAATGTATCGCGTCCACTTCGGTGAGATCCGCTGACAACCTGTCAATTTATGTGTATAAAGTGGGAGAACTGGCAAAAGCATTTCCAACTTTTACTTCTGTTCTACAACTTATTGCAGCACCTCTATAAATGTTTAGAGGATAAACTAAATATATACAATATACATTTTCCACATACATCTACCTCGAAACATTTTTCTATAGATTTTCATTGAAAACGAAAATACTGAACAATTTAAATTTATCACTTTTCCTACAATTTTTCCATTACGGTCCATTTTAGAAAAATCATGTATAAACAAAAATTATAGGGAACGATATCGCAAACAACTTTTAGTTCAACAATTTTTTTAAAAATCAGAATTTTGCACATAAAAATGACCACCAGATGTTCCGACTCTGCCCAAAATATTATCAGCTCATTGGACGCTGCCCAGACAACACACCAAATCGCAGAGATATCCTCAGAATATCTTTTGTGGATATCCAATATATATCCACAGGATATCAGAAATATTCCGTGGATCTAATATGGATATCCAAATGTCCGTCGATATCCAGAATATAGAAGATATCCTATGGATATTCAGCAAAATATCTAATGAGTATCTCCAGACAATACAAGAAATGCCAGAGATATCCACAAAATATATTTTGAGGATATCCAACCAAATGTCCGTCTATATCCCAGGATATAGAATTCAGATATTCAGCAAAATAGTTTATAGGTATCTTTCATTAGTAGAGGTTCAGAAGTAACACAATGATTATTGAATAACGTCGAAAGAAAATAGAGATAAAAAATATTTCCAACAATCTGCCTTTGATTTTGCCCGCTATAAGGGCAGTAAAGGAGAAAGTAATCCTTATTAGGACTCTTCAGCAATAAATGGAAATTCTCGACTCCAGTCTCTAATGGAGTCTGTGAAAAAATGTCGATCGAACTCAATTACGGCGGGTTAAGCATGCATGAGTAGATACGAAAGTGGTATCGCCATCTATACTTAGGAAACAAAATCAAAAATTACATCTAGTGGATATCCACGATGGTTTGCGTCCGCGCTTAGACTTTGATTATTTAGTGGATGTCCATGGGATATTGAATACACCTTAAAAAAATTAATTTTAAATATCTGAACGGTACTATTAGCCACAATGGCGAGCACAATGGCGTAATTTTTTAATAATTTGCTATATATAATTACTATTATTTATGGACATTTTGCATTTCCATAAATTACATTTCATTGATATAAAATAGATATCCACCATGGACTGGACATTCAGTGGATATTGGGATGTTTAGTAGATATCCAAAGGATTTGGTGTGCTGTCTGGGTGGAATAAAGCTTAAGTTTAAAATTTGGTGTTTCTGTGTATCAATCAATTATGGTGGATACAGACACGCACACACGCGCGCACGAACGCGCACACGTACACGCGCACACACACACACACGTACACACGCGCGCGCGCACACACACACACACACACACACACACACACACACACACACACACACACACACACACACACACACACACACACACACACACACACATACACACACACACACATTTTTATTTATTTTTATTTATTTTTATTTATTTTTATTTATTTTTATTTATTTTTATTTATTTTTATTTATTTTTATTTATTTTTATTTATTTTTATTTATTTTTATTTATTTTTATTTATTTTTATTTATTTTTATTTATTTTTATTTATTTTTATTTATTTTTATTTATTTTTATTTATTTTTATTTATTTTTATTTATTTTTATTTATTTTTATTTATTTTTATTTATTTTTATTTATTTTTATTTATTTTTATTTATTTTTATTTATTTTTATTTATTTTTATTTATTTTTATTTATTTTTATTTATTTTTATTTATTTTTATTTATTTTTATTTATTTTTATTTATTTTTATTTATTTTTATTTATTTTTATTTATTTTTATTTATTTTTATTTATTTTTATTTATTTTTATTTATTTTTATTTATTTTTATTTATTTTTATTTATTTTTATTTATTTTTATTTATTTTTATTTATTTTTATTTATTTTTATTTATTTTTATTTATTTTTATTTATTTTTATTTATTTTTATTTATTTTTATTTATTTTTATTTATTTTTATTTATTTTTATTTATTTTTATTTATTTTTATTTATTTATTTATTTTTAATTATTTATTTTTATTTCACCGCCCTTAAAATGTGAAAATCCAAAAACCATGAAACAAATCATTATTTATTTTTGATCAGTAGCTGCATTTTAAATTTTCATATTTTTAGCTTTAAGGAACAAAAAAATATATACATACTTTTAAACAAATTTTCACCCCCCGTCTCCCCCCTTAAAATGTGAAAATGCAGAAACCCTAAAAGACTTTCATTATTTATTCATGATGAGAACCTACAATTCCAATTTTCAATTTCCTACTTAAAAAAAAATCGATACTTTCAAATAACCTTTCATCCCTGGTTCCCCTCCTTAAAATGTGAAAATCCAAAAACCCTGAAACCCGTCATTATTAATTTGTACTCAGTAACTGCAATTCCAATTATCATGTTTCTAACTTTAAAGAGAACCAAAAACATGGATACTCCCAAATAAATGTTATCCTCTCATTTCCCCTCCATTAAAATGTGAAAATCCAAAAACCCTAAAACACGTCATTAATAATTTGTAGTCAGTAGCTGCAATTCCAATTTTCATGTTTCTAACTTCAAAGAGAACAAAAAAAATCGATAGTCCCGTACAAACATTCACCCCCTGTTTCCCCCCCTTAAAATGTGAAAATCCAAAAACCCTGAAACCCGTCATTATTTATTTACGCTTAGTAGCTGTAATTTAAATTTTCATGTTTCTAACTTTAAAGAACAAAGATTTTCATTAAAAGCTCCCTCCCCCATTTCCCCCCTTTAAACTTAAAATTTCCAAAAATCCTTTCTTAGCGGATGCTTACGTTATAAAATATACCTTATATTCCAAATTTCAGCATTCTAGGCTCAATAGTTTTGGCTATACGTTGATAGGTAAGTCAGGACAAACAATTTTACATATATACAAACTTTCACCCCCGTTTCCCCCCTTAAAATGTGAAAATCCAAAAACTCTGAAATGCGTCATTATTTATTTATGATCAGTAACTACAATTCCAATTTTTATGTTTCTACCTTTTAAAATAAATTGATACACCCATACAAACTTTCACCCCCCAAATCGATATCCCCTACAAACTTTCACACCCACCCCCGTTTCCCCCCTTAAAATGTGATTTAAATAAAATCCGTTCTTAGTGGGTGTCTACGTCGAGAAAGGAGTAAATTTCAAGTCAATCGGCTTTATAGTTTTGGAGATCTGGTGATGAGTCAGTCAGTCAGTCAGTCAGTCAGTCAGTGGTATTTCGCTTTTATATATACAGGGTGATTTTTTGAAAAGGATCCACCCTCGATAACTTCGTTCTCGTCTTGATTCAGGTAAAATCCAAAAACAGGTAAATTTTTATCCTTAGGGGGACACATTTTTAGATCACAACTGATTTTGTCGGATCAACCCCATGGCCCCACCAGCCCCCACCTCAAAAACCTTCAATAGCAAGGGGGCCGAGTAACCCCTCATTGGAAAGGTTTTTGCATTTACCATACGACCATGTAAGAATTATTTCGTTTTGTACAGGGTGGTTCAAGAAAAAAGACAAATTGCAATAAATAGATTTACATTTTGCTTTAATTGGTTATAATTTTTGAAATAAAAATTGTATTAATTGTTTACAAAACGAGAAGAAACGGATTAGAGTGAAAGGAAGCAAAATCACAACCAGTGCTCAAAATGACCACCGTTATTCTCCATACAGTAGTAAAGGCGGTATTTAAATTCCTCTCTCACCCGTTGAAAGATTTCTCTAGGGATTCTTCCGCATGCGTCAGTTATTCGTTGTCGCAACTCCACTAAACCTGCTGGTTGAGTTTTGAAGACAACAGATTTTAGGTGCCCCCGGAGGAAAAAATCTGGTCCTGTCAAATCTGGTGACCGTGGAGGCCATTATATTGCTCCCCGCCTGCCAATCCAATGATGCGGAAATCTCTGATTCAGCCAGTTCCGAACA